TCTTCTGTTTCTTTTTAATTTTTTAGTTTGGATACTAGAAAATTTGAAGATACACAGGTGGCTGGTGGTATAGCTCTGCAAGGCAGCATTGTTCTCAAAGCTCTCAGACCAGGGGTGGTCGACTTAGAAGCAAGTGTAAAGGCAGTAATGGAGGTGCCTCCACAAGTCTGCAGGATCCTGGAGGCAGGAGCTGAATCAGCCAAGAGGGGAGCATTACTTGGCATAGGAGCAGGGCAGACAAGGCCCCGGGGCAATCCTGCAGGTTCCTGGGAAGAAATGGAGACAGTGAAAATTCAATAATGGCGGCTTTAACTGAACTTGTGCAAGGTGCCAGCCCTGGACCAAGTGCTTTCCATTCACTCACTTGTTTAATTCTCACTGTGGCTCTATGAGTCAACACCTTTTCTTCTCATTTTACAGATGAGGAAACTGAGGCCTGACATGGTAAGTTCTTTGCCCAGGACAATGCAGAATAAGGGTTTAAACCTAAGCCTGGAATAGTCAGTGAGAGCCAGCTTGCAAAGAAGCATGTATATCATACTAACATATAAAATTAAAGGAGAGCAGGAAGGGGAGGGGGAGGACAATAATTAGTTTTTCTTGCACACAATAAGGAAGCCATGCAAAGACTTTAAGCAAGAGTCTGACATAATTGAGTGAGCAAAGAGTTCACTCCAGTCCAGAGTCACTTTTTATGGAAATTTGGGATCAATCAAAACCAAAGCTCAGATATGAACCATAGTGGTTCTGATTTCAGTTTTTAACAGAAAACAAAATCTAATAATAAACTTCATTTGGTTCATGTGGATGATATTATGGGTGTAAAGATACTTTAATTGGGGGTGTAGGATAGAATTAGACCTTTAATTCAGTCTTTTGCCAAATATCTTATTGCCTTTCTCCACTTTAATTGCAACAGCTTTTCATAGAATTTAGTACTGCACTGTTAGAAATTAGTACAGTAAAACCTCATTAATTTAGATAAAGCTAATTAGGAGCTTGTGGTTTTAGCCTTGAAAAGCTCAAGTTTTATGAGTATTTAAATAAGCAAATAAATAGGATGAATGATGTTATTGGAAGTGTTTGCCTACTAGGGAAAACACTTCTGCATATTAAAATAACAATTTACTATACATACTATAATTTCAGTATAAGTGGAAGCTGGTACAATTGAAATTGGGGCTTTGATATGCTGGTTTCAAGACATTCTTTATTTATTTTAAAGTGGTTCTTTGATAAGCAACAGATGGTTAATGCAATTCTTGGAGTCAGAGCCCTTGAGAGTAATAAATTTATTTTAAAAATACATATCATTTACATACATCTTTCCCTTTAGTTAGTATAAATGTTTGGTCTTATTCATCAAACACCCCTGCAAATAATTTAAGTGGCTAACTCTTCCTGTTTCTCATAGAAACATAGCTATTAAAGTAATTAAAATTATTTTTCTGATCATCCAGCTTTACTAAGTTTCCATTTGCTACTGTTTTTTTTTTCTTAATTATCAAGACACTAAGTTATTGTGTCCCACCTTAAGAAGCTCTGTGACTCTTCCAGATTATATAATGGATCAATTATGGCCACTTATATTTAGTGGTCTCCTTTGTATTTAAAGTTCTACATTGTATATAATTTTTCAGTAAGCTTAGGTTTTTATATAGTTTTGTTCTGGTGATTGTTATCAGCTGACACCTCTTCAGAAAAAGTACCCAAAGTTCTTGCATTGAATAATGCATCACATAAAATTACTCCAAAAGCCAAATCTTGGCAACTATAAAGACAATTTCTTGAAGATCTATATGAATATGACAATTATTGGGATCTTCGCCTTAACTCCAGTTCAGCCTAGGGTTTATCTAGGAAAAGAAAAGAAAGCACATTTTTTTAAATGTAAGCTATGAAGAATTAAATTGTCACCATGCCCATCTGACTGAAAAATAACAAATAAGAGCAATTTAGGGTAATCGGCAGTATTCAACAATCTTGTTAAATTTTGCATCATGAGTCAAAACACATGATCTTAGATTCAGAACAGATATGCTCTTCTTCCCTGCTAAAAGAAAAGAAAAAAAGTCTGCCCTAGCTGGTGTGGCTCAATTGGTTGGCCATCATCCCATGCACTGAAAGGTTGCCGATTCAGTTCCTGGTCAGAGCACATGCCTTGGTTTCAAGCTCAATTCCCAGTGGGGGACCTGTGGAGGCAGTCGCTCTCACATTGATGTTTCTCTTTCCCTCTCCCTTCCACTCTCTCTCTAAAAAAAATCAATAACAATTAAATTAAAATCAGAGAAAGTCTGCAATGGTGTCATGCAAATGATTAAATAAAGTAGGAAAGTGGGGAGAGGAAGAGAAAAGGAACAGTGAAAAACAAAAGCAGAAGAGAGGACAAAAATGTTTTCTAAGGTACACATTTTGGGAAAAGACAGTTAAATTCATATGCTTCATAGAGTCAGAAAATAAAAATGCCCTCCCCCATCACTCTGTCTTCTCTTTCCGTGACAAAAACAAACAAACAAACACATGATAAGAATTCTGTAATCCTCTAAATGCAGGTGTCTTAAAGCACATTATCTGTCTACTTCCTTGGGATAACATGTGTTCTGTTGCCATCATGTAGCTGACATTGAGCATTATTCTTCTATCCATAAGCAGCCACCAACTCGTTCTGGAATTAGGTGAGTGATGATGTTTTTCTCCAGTAAAAAGCCATTTGCTCACCTTTAAAGAAAGTGGGCAGGAAAATCTTCCTGGGTTCCAGGATTCTGGGCTACAACGTGCAAATCAAAGGCTAACATAGTGATTTTTAGTTCTGTCTGTCTGTCCCTCCATCCATCCAGCTAGTAGAAACTTATTGAGTTTTCCCTACATGCCTGGTCCTGCCTTAGGGGCTGGGCATAAAACATGAAAGAAGGGGCAAAATCCGCATCTTCAACACTCCAGAGGCTTAAACAAGTATTTACATAATTATACAAATAAATATGTAATTAAAAACTGCAATGATTGACAGGAAGGGAAATTACAGGATGCTATAGAACCCTGTAATGAAAGGATTTGATTCTGAGTTTTCACATGTCCTGAAAAAAAAAAGAAAAAGAAAACATGCATCCTGGTTTTAGGGGTGGAGAGAATATTTCGTCTGTTAATCTCAGACAATAAAATACAATAAATAAAATAAAGTGCAAAATCTCATGTGATATTAATTGTGCTGAAATCAAACTTCTTGGGCTTTTGCTTTTAAACTCTATTGCCATCAAAAAGACTTCAAAAATGAAGAGTAAACGATGTTTATTTATAGTGGTTTAGTATGTTCATTTAAAATAAGCTAGAGTGTTTTAAGAGGAATGGAAATAAATCAAAAGTGGTGGATCTTGCCCTAACCGGTTTGGCTCGGTGGATAGAGCGGCGGCCTGCGGACTGAAGGGTCCCAGGTTCGATTCCGGTCAAGGGCATGTACCTTGGTTGCGGGCACATCCCCAGTGGGGAGTGTGCAGGAGGCAGCTGAATCGATGTTTCTCTCTCATTGATATTTCTGACTCTCTATCCCTTTCCCTTCCTCTCTGTAAAAAATCAATAAAATATATATTTTTTTAAAAAGTGGTGGATCTTGCCTAAACAGAGCAACAGCCCTGGACCAGAAAGAATTCAGTGGGTTCTAGTTACCTTCCAACACATCATAGCTGTGCTGTCTTGGCCAATTCTGTAACCTCTCTGAGCCTTGATTTCCTCATCTATAAAGTAACTGTCATAGTCACCTGCAGGGTCCTTCCGAGGGGCATCTGAGTGAATGTGCACAAAGTGCCTTGTGACAGTCAGTATAGAAAGGAGAGTACAGAAAGGAGAGAACCATTGAAAAACATTAATGCCAGTGTGAACCATCCCTCCCTGGGGAATTAGTATTGGCTCTCCCAAAAGACTTCATTAGCTATTTGAAAGACGCCGTTGTGCATTTTTCCTTAAATTGCTTACTAATCATCTCAAACAAAAGCTCCTGCCAATATTATCAGAGTCAATTCCTTAGCACACCACACCTCACGTAGTACCCTGAAAAAACAAACAAAAAAACAACAACTAGCAAATGTTTTCTGTAATAACTAACCATATGTGCACTTGGGATTCAACTTGTACTGATAGAGGGAAATTGCATTGTTTTGAAATATATACTGGCTGGGTTTGTTATTGCTTTTTTTCTCCCCACTATTAGAAGCATATTCAAGGATGATAGAGTAAACCTGAAATTGAAAAGAGTTCAACTTGAGAGAAAATGCCATTTTAATTAGAGGAGTTAGTTATTCTCAACTTGAGTTCATGCCTCAGGAGGCACCATATCTTCACTGTAGAGGCTCCTACATTTGTTAATGATTCACAAAGGGCGTTGCTCAAGACACACAGACTCCAGGACACCTGCCTTGCCAGAAAAATGGGCCATTCCGGGAAATCACGGCCTGGAGGAGACATTTTTAACCAGTCGTGTCAAGAGGAATCACTCCATGTTTACCTTCCGGGATTTCAGTGCGGGACTCCAAAGATGTAGGTGAGATTTTACAAATTCCAATCATCTGCCAAATGTTCCTGAAGGCTCTCCTCTGAAATCAGTTCAGCACCCTAAATAACTGTGTTCATTTTTGAACATTACCATCTCAGTTAAGGGACAGCGATCAAATATAAATCGAGTGTTAGAAAATAAAATGCAGCCACGGCTGGTGTTGCTCAGTTGATTAGGCACCATTCCAAGGTTGTGGGTTCAATCCATAGTAGGGCGTGTGCAGGAGGCAGGCAGCCAATCCATGTCTTCATGTTTCTCTCTCCCTCTCCCTTCCTTTCTCTATAAAAATCTTTTTTTTTTTTAAAAAAAAAAGATAAAACACAATTTTTTAAACAAAATCAAGGAATGGGTTATTTATGACCAAGTTTGAACATGTGCTTAGATAGAATTCCTTATTTACTTAATTTGCTCTATTTTTACATAAATAGGAAAGACATAAAGTAGGAAACGCCTCAGCTTTATTAATGCAAACATATTTTATTAAAGAATGAATGCATTTATGCTAAAGAATAGTTTACATGTGTTGGAAAGCAGCAAGCATATCTCCAAGGGGCGGGTTCTCCTCAATATGACTCCATGCTAATTCTACATGCCTTAAACCCAGACCCACACATGGGGGTACATACATAACACAGGTGCATATAGGGACACACAGATACAAAGACCAAAACACTAACACTGTTGCTCTCCAGATGCTATTAACTCTCATTTAAGGCTTCTTTCTATAAGGTGCCCCAGTGCCCCTACCATCACCAGGATTAAAAACCAACTTTAATCAATGAGCATTACCTGGGAAACTAGCCATCTGCTCTCAGCCTTAAATGTTTGTATTTTAACAAATCCTCTCAATTTCATACAATGATGACCCTTGGCATTTTATAACATTGAAAGATCCAAGAAACAGAAATCTCAGCTTTAGTGAGAACTTCTCATGAGAAACAGTGAATGCACTGGCGATCCTGACTCTGAGATGTTCTCGATTTGAAGGTCACGGGTCAGATTTCTCTTTAGATTAAGTTGAACGTAGACAAGCCAAGTTTAGAGAACTCACTAGAGTGCAAGGTTGAGTGATGGCAGCAAGGCTTCCTTGGTGACACCAAGTCAGATTTGAAGCTTGCCTGGAAGGACTCGTTAGACAGGACCATAAGTTACCACAAATGAGGGTTGAAAGAAAGGACAAGCCTGCATGGAGTTTGTTCACTTGCTGATAACTCATTCCCTTTTTCCAAGGTTTCTGTTGTGGTGGTGGTTGTTTTAAACTCCTAGCTGGTTTGACGGTTGATTTCATCTGCTCGGTGATTTTCCTCCCTTTGGGTGTCCTGCAGTGTATATTGAGAATCCACCCCTGTGGGGATGTTGGCATGGGTTAGAAGGGGAACAAGGGTGGATGGGGCAGGAGGACGGAAGGGTCATTAGTAGTTGCAAGGATTCTAAGAAAATAGATGAAGTGAATACAATAAGAGGGCACTACTTGATATATTTATGTAAATAAAAGCATTATCTTTAACTGTGAATTAACTGCCAACTATCAGACGGTTAGTTGTAAAGCTCAATGAAGGCTGTGCTGATTGGCTTACTGAGGAGAGGGTCTGAAACATGGGAGAGGAGTCTCAGGCTCAAATCCACCTGACTTTTCCTTTAGCCCTGCGACTTCCGCACCAGCATCAGTACTCACCCCCCTGCCCCCTTGACTAATGATCCGATAAGTGCATCTAACATTCTTGTTGGGTTTCATAAGGCAAACTGGAATTGTCCATCACATAACAGCCTCAGTGTCTTTGCCTGAGAATGGTGAAAATCAGCATGGAACTCTCCTACAGGGAGGCACTGGGGAATGAGCAAAGAAAAAGAGAGAGAGTCTAGAGACCTTTCCTCCCCATCCACACTCCCACCCTCCTCACAGTCACAGCAGCAGCAGATTTCAATGTAACGTAATTACTTTAATAATACATTTCTTTAGATTTAGAGTTGCTCTTCTGAATTTTAAAAGCTTGGTCGGCCAATAGTTTGGCAGTCTTTCATCTGAAATTTGAATCGTTGCATATTCATATGGTCTGGAATTCCTGGACCAATGCTGCCTTTTCTGAAGCCCCCTAAATTCCTTCAGCCGTCATCGGATTCTAATCCCTGGGAGACCTCCTCAGAGGAGCTGTTCCTGTGGATCCGGCCATCACTCTTCATACTGTGGAAAGTCTTCTTAAAAGCCTCCATCATGGCATGGGCCAGCTTCTTGGCCTCCAGCTTGCTCTCGCACTCAACAGCATGACAGTCCATCTGGTAGGACAGGTCGTCGTTGATCTCCCTGTAGACCCAGGCGAAGATGTTGGGGCTCACGTTGTGGTCGGCAGTGCAGTAAGCGATGCGAGCCACTTGGAAGGTATCCATGTGGACCGTAGCCTCCCCTTTGTGGTCAAGATGATGAAGACACACTTGGAATGGTCGGATTTCCAGAAGGACATTGGCTGGAAAGATATCTTCTCGGGCTAGTGTGTGCTTCTTCCAGAGCTCAATGACTGGCTTTTCTGTGCAGCCTGAAAAAAACTGCATGCCTGTGGTAGGGACTTTACCCAGATAGGTAACCTGCAGAGGAAATAGAGGAAGAAAAAGGGAGAAGTCAATAGTAAAGTCTTTGTGCTAGTTGTTCATTTCAATGTTCTCATTCATGGTGTCACATGGAAAGGTGGAAAGACATTTTTCTTGCTCCCTAAATGTCATAACTGCCATCAGAATTTTTACCTTTCTCCCTAACAAGTGGCCCACTTGGCAAAAATATTGAAATTCTTTAAATATTAGAGTTGGAGTTTAAAAATCTAGTTCTAGAGAACTACTCTCCCTCTTCCTACCCCCCTTTAAAACTCATATTAGAGTAATGATGGTATTTTATATAATTTGTCATTTCTTTACAATCATACAGGCACTTGAAGTTTATTTTCAACCAAACACAAGCAGAATTTGATGATATAAAGGAGTCATAGGATGGTGCATCTGAAAAACAAAATCCTTATTAAACATCTCCTAGTCTGGTTCTCTTTCCATATCTGTCAATGTTCACTTTCCCTTGAGCTTCTTGCTTCTAGCAAATGCCAAGGACACAGGAAAAAATGTTCTGTTTAAATTATGTCCTAAAACATGATTGGTTTCTTTCCAAGGTAATTTTTGAAAATATAGCAATACAGTTGTTTTTCAACCTAAACAGTTTTGGAATAGATGGGCACCATCTGGTTATAGTGATAATAAATGAAAGATCTACAGATGGTTGGAGACTGAGAATGCTTGCTTATCAAATAGCTAGATGGGCAGTACGAAAACAAAGGAAAATAATTCCAAGTGATTCAAATAGTGACTTCTTAAAAACGTGTTTAAGAATACCAATAAGGGATTTTTTTATTCTTTCATTTTTTTATTCATCAAAATAGATAGAACTGCTATCATTATGGAAATGCATAACACTGAAGATATAATTTAAGAAATAATACAAAATAGTATATGATTTGGTGCAAAATTAGTGACACAGATATAAATACTATGGATTTGAGGAAGAAAAGACCAGAAAAAAAGGTCCATAGAAATGATGAGAAAGGACATTTTGTCACAGTGATTCCAAATCAATATTGACAATTAGTGGGACTATAAAGGCTACATACAAAAATTTTAGCACACAGAAGTAAAGTAGTTACAACTTCTTGTGCTTTATCTCTTAAACAAGAGTTAATTGGATACTCCCTTTAAAAACATAGCTCCTTAGTAAAGAGGCATAAAAGCTGCACATTCTAGAAATATTCAGAACCTATCGATAATAATAAAATCATAATATGCTAATTAGATTGGACAGCTGAACGACCTTCTGGACGTCCTTTAGGATGACCTTCCAGATGAAGCCAGGGTGGCTCCGAGGGCTGAGGCAAGCCACCAAGGCTGCGAGGGCCAAGCCCCTTGCACGAATTTTGTGCATCGGGCCTCTAGTTATACATAATGGCAATATGCCAGGTGGGCATGTGAGAGGGGTAAAGTGAAGATGGGGTGGCCCAAAAATCAATGGAAAGCAAGTGGATATTTGTTCAGAGGCAGGCAGAGTCAAGATTTAATCCTAGCTCCACGGTTCACCAAGTGGATGGATCATTCTGGACACCACTAGCCCTTTGCACATGCACAGACATCATTATAATCTAAGGAAGACCATGAAAAGGGCGGCAAGGAGTACTACATAGTATCCTGAACATTCAGGGGAAGGAAGTGTGGTTCCCTGCTGGCAGAAGGCCTCAGAGAGAAGAGCTATTGGATTTCAAGGCATCAGGACCTCAAAATCCAGATAGGAGCCCAGCAAGTCAAGGTGGTATGAGAAGGAGGAAGCAGAAAGGCAAGCAAGGGCTGCAGTGGGAAAAGCCCCAGGTGGGCAAACAGGCTGCTTTGGCCTGACCACACATTAATTAGGTTGTGGCATAAGCCAGAGTAGGGACTTCTTTCCTCTTGAAGGAATGCCACTAAAAATCTACAGCCTGAGGAAGGCCTGGATTTGATCAAGGTTGAAAACTTGGAAGACCTGATGATGCCACGAAGAAAGATGGATGGGGAAGGCTGACTAAGAGCAGAATGCTCGGCAAGATGTTGTAGCAACAACCCAGCCTGGAGGCAAAGGTGAACTGAATTACGAGTGTCAGTAGTGGGAAAGGACTGAGGAGACACATGGCAAAGATATTTCAAAGATAAAACTGACAGTATACTGTAGGGGGAAAATAACTCAGATGCTGCAAATGCTCAAGCTCCCCAAAGAGGGCAACTGGTTGAATAGCTCTGTGTCTCTCTGGATTGGAGTCAGATAATAAAGATGGCTTTGTGAGCAAATGCACAACACAGGGTTCTTCAATACCATTTACTAAAAATGTACCTTCTATATGTGGTACTTTGTGATATCTTTATTATTTTTAACAGCTTTATTTTTTACTGACGTGAAAATTCACATCATATAAAACTTAACCATTTTAAAGCATATGATTCAGTAGCATTTAGTAGTCAAAATGTTGTACAACTATCTGCTCTAACTGGCTCCAAGATATTTTCATCACCCCCAAAGGCGACATAGTGCCCATTAAACAATCTTTCTCCATTATCCTGTCTCCCAAGGCCCTGGCAACCACCAATCTGCTTTCTGTCTCTATGGATTCCCTGTTCTTCCTATTTCATATAAGTGGAATCATACAATATGTGGCCTTTCCTGTTGACTTCTTTCACTTGGAATAATGTTTTCAGCATTCATCCAAGTTGTACCTGTATCAGCACCTCACTCATTCCTATGACATCTTTACTTCTGGAAGTTTAAACGCAAGTGTTGGGAAAATAAGTTTCAGTGCTTGGAGTAAAAGCATATTCTCTTTTACGCTCCACTGAAACTAGGAATAACTTTATATTTCTACTGAAACTAGGAATAACTTTATATTTCATACAAAAATTCTTCTGATGGAGGAAAACTCCTTTGATTTGCCAATAGGATCACACCTTTATCCCACCTCCCACACACAAGTTTTAAAAATTATAGTGTCTTCTATTGCAATGTAACCAAAGGATGAGCTTTAAACAATATTAGAAGTGGTAAATGACTCACTCCAACAGGAAGCAATTTCATAGTGGTAAAATTTTGACAACAAAGACAAAACATAATCCTCCCTTATAAATATTTATTACTTAAAAACTAAAGATTTTAAGGGACATAAAGTTTTATTGTTAAAGTGTGCTTTAGAGAAGAGTAGAGCGGGGATTAGTAGCTCAAGAAGTTTATTAGGCAATAATGAAAGCTACAAATAATATGCAGACATTTATAAAAGCAATTTTGAAACACTGAGGTACAACATAATACATAGCTGTAATCTCTTGAAATTAAACTTACTATGGAAGTGTCTTTATTCAGTGGTCCCCTTTCACCATGATCATCTGACTAGCACTCTACACATTAAACCATAAGGTCCTAAGCCCCTACTGACATACATCCTCAACCAAATCAAGCCACACAGACACTGAAGAGTAGTAACAAATATTTGTGTCACACTTCAAGGAAGAAGCACATGGTATATATAGGTTCACTGTGATTCAGGATCTAATATTATTATCACTAACCCATTTTAAAAGACAAGAACCTTAGGTGAGGTGGTAGCACTGGGAGACATAACTTATACTTCCAAGTGTTGGGATTTCAGGAGTATTTTGATTATTTGCGAAGAAAATTGCTTAGAAAAGACAGCCTGAAAAGACACGTGTTGAATTCCTGGACCATTTTGCTATCAGATGAGAGGCATTTACAACTGATTTCACTTTCAGCCAGTTATTCATTTTTCCCATCTTTGTACTATCAGAGAAATTTTGGATTTATATGAGCATCCAAATACAGTGGGTCTTTCCATAGAATGAACATTTTTTTGTCTGGTGCTTTTGCCAATGACACTCTTCTTCATGACAATATAGGCGTAGGCAGTTCTTTAAAAATGCATTCTGTTTTATAATTGCAGAAAGTAAGAAGCAAAAACCCTAGAAAGTTGTCAGGTAAAATGGTGTACAAATAATAAAATAATACATGTATATGATATACTATTATATTTTATATAATTTATTTATAATATATCATCTGTTTTCTAAAACTCAAAAAATATAGAATATACTTAAAATGAAATCAAAGAAAATAAAAGTTAATCTCAAGAACTCCAGACTTTTGGAATTTTCCCACATGTTTTCTGTGCAAAGAGAAGCCTAAATATGTTCTTAGCACTGATCCTGAATATTCCATTAGCTTCATCTTGCAGAGTGTTACTAAGCCTGCAGATGGAGGGAAGCTGTAAGTGGATCATGCGATGACTCTGCTCCACGGGGATACTGACAAGGGCCAACAATCACACCAAGTGTTCCCAGGAACCACAACTGATGTCTGCTCTCAATTTGTAATGAAGGCCACAGAGGTGGTGGTGGACAGACAAGTCCTTCCTACCAGCACAGAATTAGCAAAAATGCCCCCGACGTGCCAACAAATGGCCGGTTCCCTAGTGACAGCAGCTCCTGCTGCTTAAATGTACAGGGGTCCCCTCACCTCAGGCCTCACAAGGCTCTTGGCTGAGTCTTCTCTTGATTCCAAGGAGCTAACCCTGCCCAAACCTTTCTAAACAGTTCCAATAATGAACTGGTTCCTGCAGGATCTGCTCAACACAGAGCAGGAGTCAGAGGGTAGAACTTACGCTGCTGGGTAAACCTTAGTAAGTCAATGAAACTCTTGTCTGTTGCCTTTGTGGAGCAGATAACATTGTCTAAAATCCCATGAGGTTTTGTAAATACAACGACATAAAGTCAACAAGTTGAGACTTCTAAAAGACATATAGGAAAAGAATGATCGAATGATCTGACTAGATTTTCCCTAGATATGGAATAAAAATAATTATCTAAATAGTTTCCTTAAAAATGGAATGTGAAATGATAAAATGAAGTCCCAACATAGCTTCCACTCAGAAGGATCCCTGGCTTTGCCTGTGCACTTCCCCTCGTCAGTCAATTACTTGCTATCTGTCTGCCCATTTCCTAAATCTCCCACTACTAGTAAATTCTCC